GTTTGGACCTTGAATGGTAACCCCATGCTATGATCGTAAACATTCATCGGAGGAAGAGACCCCTCTCTTTCACTTTCGGGCTCCGATCCCGACGCCGCAACGACTACCTCCTTGCTCTTTGATGTTTTTTTCGGAGCGGCGGCGGCCTTTCTCTTACCCATGATAGCACGGTTTGATCGGAAGAATAGATCGAGAGAATACCTACAAAATCACTTTGAACACACCCGGTAAGGCGTGTTCCAACCAAACACAACAATATCCAAAATATATAATCGACAATCCGACCGAACAATAATAGCAAGTTATAGTTCCATATCTCTCAATTAACTACTCCAATTTCCGAGCAATAAAAGCAATAAAAGATATGCAAGTCCCGAATACCGCTAATCAATGTAAATCGAGCCAAGAAAGAGCAAGTTGATTACCTCGGTAGCACTCGGGGCTACCGGGAAGTGTAGGAGCTCGGTTGACGGTTGAAAAGTAGAAGCCGTAGGTCGGAGATTGCTCGGTTGCCGTTTGAACGGTAGATGGGGCTCGGTCGCCGCGAAGTCGGTGGAAGGAGAGGCTCAGTCGCCGTGAACCGCGAATAGGTGGAGTGAATTGAGTTGCGGTCGAATGCCGGAGATGTGTTAGGAGGAGAGATGGCCGATGAAGGTGGTGGAAGAGGGAGCAGGTTGAGGGCGGTCGGAAATCGGGTCGCCGATGGGGGTGCAAGCCGGTGCTCGGTCGGAATCGACACCGTTAAGGTCGCCGGAGATGGCAGCAAACGGCGGCGGAAAAAGAGAGAGCGATTTTGAGCTGCGATTTTAGGCGAGAGAGATGAGAGAAGAAAGTGAGCTGCGGGAGTTGGGAGTTTAGGGTTTGAAAGAAAGGTCGGGAATTGTGATTTTGAGCTGAGGGAAATTTTTGGATTTTTTTTTATTATTATTATTATGATATCAAACGGGCCCTGACCGGGCTGAGCCGGGCCCGCGAGGTCGCGCCATGGGTGACAGGCGCGGACTGTAAGCGCTGGAAATTGGGGGTCTTGGCCGGCGAGCTCGAGGAGAAGATGGCGAGCTCGAGAGTGGCTTTGGCGAACTCTCCATGGCGGCCGCGGGCGCGGAAATTAGAGACTGGAATTCCGGGGTCTTGGCCGGCGAGCTCGAGGAGAAGATGGCGAGCTCGAGAGTGGCAGCTCGAGCTTTCCGTGCTAGTGACGGGCGCGGACGGTAAAGGC